CTCCTCCCCCTCCCGCTGGGGCTGGATGCAATACTGAAGAGAACCACATGAGGGCGCCAGAACCACACTGGTGATGCCCTACTCCCCGGTTAGACTGTATCCCCTTCAAAATTGTCCCCCAAACCAGAGATGACACCGGTCACTGCAGTCCTGGAAGGCTGCCACTGAGGAGGGAGCCGGTGAGAAGTCATTGGCTTCTAAACTCTGAGAAGAATCCCCACCCCTACCTGTCTTCCTAGAGCTGTACTGGCCAAGGGGATCCTCTGAGCTGGCCACCCTCAGACACCTGAGGGGTATGGAGAGAGGACTTGCTGTGGGCCTTGAACCAGGCCCTGTACCTCCCTGAGCCTCCGTTTCTGGCACTGCTGAGTTACAGTGGGACAGGCATCTGGCCACCCACCACTTCCCGAGGACTCTGGTTGTGGAAGATGTTTCCTGCCCTCAACTTCCCACTCCGTGGCACCAGCTCGCTCATCCCAGGCCCCCAGTGCATGCTTGGTGTTTGCGAAGTTGAACTGAAATAGAAATAAAAGAACTCCTCAGAACATAAAATAGGAGTTTAGAGGTGACTACCAGAGACACAGAGACATTTTCTCCTTCCCCTGCAGGAAGTTCCTGGTCACAGCGCACTGGCCTTGCCCAGGAACAGGCCAGGGCTTTGCCCTCCTTGAGCACAGGCATCCTGTGTGTGTGTGGGGGTGGGGGGGGCTTGGGGTCGTGCTCGAGGGGCTTGGAGGGGTGGATTCTGGGTCACTGGAATAGAGAGAGGAGAACCAAAGCCTGAGTTCTGAGGGCAGCCAGGGAGGAAGGGGCCTGCCAGGGTCAGGGGCCACATGCCTGAGAGGGACAGGAGAGGCAGTGAGATCCTGCAGGGTGAGGTGGGGGTCGGGGGCCCCTCCAGAGCAGCAGGCTTCCCGGTGCCTCCTCAGGTGCTCAGCTGTGTGAGGGAGGGGCATGGGCTCAGACCCTCAGGCCTCCACCTCAGGCTGCATTCAGACGCCACCATGCTGATGGTGTGAGGGAGCCATGGGCGACTGCGTGCCACTCATGCATCCCCCAACATCTTCAGGGAGACCAAGAATTGCTTCCTGGCATGAGGCCCAACTCTTCCTGAAGACTGCAGCAGAGTCAGTTCCCTCTCATTCTGGTCTCCCACAGCCCCCCGGGGCCCCCAGGAGTTGCCTGTTGGTTCCCTGCCCCTGTGGCTGGAGACTGCTGAGCGTAGGGGCTGGGTCCCATTCTCCTCTGTATCCACCAAGGGCCCAGCACCAGTGGGCACTCGACAAATGCTTGCTGAACAGATTAATTCATTTTCACTTAACGAGCTCATTAGGGCTCTATCTCCTAATTAGGAAGCGGGAAGATTCCTTTTTTTTCCCTGTAACTATCCACCTTGGGGGGGTGATGGTGGAAACTCAGCCTCCGCAAGCAGAAGGCAATCAGACTAAATTCCTGGGGCACACGATTGCACTTTAAAGAAATAAAACATGTGTGCTCAGTGAGCTGCGTGTAAACAAGACACTTGCATACCAAAAGCTTCACGTTAACTATGCATCGTTACTCAATTTATCACACAGATTTAGAGCTGCACAGGACAACTGTTTAGTTGTAGTGACACAGCAGCCCTGAGGAGGGTGGACAGGGGGCTTAGGGATGTTACCCTGGCAGAGGATGCCTGAGTGGGTCCCACTGGGTTTCTGGAAGGTGCTCCCACATCCAAGGCCCTGGGCCACGCTGGCTGCCTCTGGACAACTTGCCCCAACAATTGGGTCTTTGCTGGTAACAGATGCGGGAAGGGTGGGGAGATGTGGCAGTTCCCTGGATCCAACCAGGACTCCCCGTGGGCCATCTCCAATGCCAGCCTGCCCTTCCGGTCTGGTTGCTGCTTGCACTGTCCCCGGCATCTGCGAGTAAGCTTGGCTGTCTGTCCCCGCGAGGACCTGGGCCAAGTGACATCAGCCACTTCCGAGAGCGTCTTGAAGAGCCAGCCAGAGCTCCGTGTTCAAAATCTTAAAAGGACACTCGGGGCCCTGCCACTGCAGTAGAAGCAGAGTGGGGCGAGGGCGCCACCTGTTGGCGGCCACTTGCTCACACCGCGCTGCGGAGGGACCGGCCTGGAGACGGCCTGGGAGGGAGCCTTCCCCCCGCGCCCCCGAGAGGGGCTGCTCTGTGACTAGCTGCGGGAGAGGACGTTGGCGGCTGTGATTATTCCGACGGGGCCCTCGCACTGGCGGGCGGGCCCTCTCCCCCCACAAAGCTCTCTTTCTTTCCGTGGAGCCTTCTTGGGGGCGAGGGGGTGCCTTTAAAGGCCCCTGACTGCTCAGCGCTCAAGGACACAGCTCAGGGGCTCAGCCGTTGAAGTGGCTGGGTCGTTCCGGTCGACAATGAAGCCGGCGGAGGAGGGGGAGAGAGGGGAACAAAAGTCCCGCGGCTCCGCGCAGCGAGGCCCGTCAGTGGCTGGAGGCTGCGCGCGCGGAGACAAAACGCCGGGGACGACGTATTGTGTGGCTGGGAGCTTTTTTTTTCCCTCCCTCAGAGAAATCCAGATTATTCCACCCCCCCGCCCCCGCCGCCCATTAATTGGCAGCAGATGAAGAAAAAAGCCAAAACAAAAACCAAACTAACACCAGTAACCTGCATATGAGTGTTTCTGAAAGGGAAAAAGCTGTTTCAATTGTTAGATGTCCAAGAAAACATGAATCCACGCTGACAGAGGAAACGGCCACAATGAGAGGAAGAGGAGGGAGAGGCTCATAAAATTAAGGAAGAAAATTCCTGTTAGCAGCTCCCATCCTGTGGGCTGGCTCCTGCACCTCCGGCCCCGAGGGGAGCTGGAGGCTGGGCCCCCCTCCCCGGGGACACTTGAGGACGTGGAGGCAGGGGCCCCTTGAGACGAGCACAGCCAAGGCCGGCGGTGCAGCGGCCTCACTTCTCCTCAGCCCGCAGGCGCGGAGCCTTTTCTGAGCAGAAGCCCGGGCTCGCTGGTGGGAGGGCACCTGAGAAGAAGCCTCCCCCGGCCCTGGCTCCGGGGACTGTCCCCGGGGTCCCTGACCTCTGACTGGGTCCCCTGACCTCTGACTGGGTCCCAGGGATCCGGACTCTGCTGGCACTTGTCTGGTCAAGTGCCAGCTCTTCATTCGTTTTCTCATTTACAAAAAGGAGGAGGAGGAGGGTGGGAGGAAGAAGTGATGAATCACTCTTGCTTCAAAGGATGTTTCAGAAAATGCAAAACAGGCAAAAGGTCAAGGTCACGTCTTTGGAAGACAGGACTCGGACCACAGCCACCGTGGCACTCATGAGGTAGACCGTCCGTGGGATCTCCAGGTGAGGGGCCGGCGGCCACCTGGGCTGATGGACACGGCCCCAGGAGGACGGCCCAGGGGGCTGGCGGGGCAGAAGGACCGGTCGCTGGGAGACAGCTCTGGCCACAGATCCCAGAAGTCCACGGCCGCCACCTTTAAAGGAACCCGGCTTGCAGTTCCGCTCGGTCCCACCTTGTCCCTCGCCGGCCTCTGTCTCCTCGTGGGAGCAGGGCGCCTGCAGCCTCTCCGAGGCCCTGGGGCCGAGCCAGGTGTCTAGGCCTGCTGGCTGGCGGCGCTCAAGCTCGGCCGCTCGCGCTGGGGACCCTGAGTCACCAAACGTCCACTCCCTGCGGACCAGCGGGGCGGGCAGGATGACGAGTGCTCAGCAAAGGTGCTGAAACTGGAAACTCGTGTGGTGCTGGGCCCCTCGCACCTTCGTCAGTGACGGAAGCCACACCGTTCAGGCCACCGGGTGGGATTCTTCCATTTCTCCCATCCGCGGGGAACTCTGGCGTGGTGGTGGGCAGGCAGGAGAGGAGGGGAGTGGGACAACCACCACCACACAGCCTTGTGACGGTCCGCCCAAGTGTGCGTGTGCAGCAAGACTCCTGCTCCAGTCACGGACGCGGACCAGACAGACGTGAGTCTGTGCGGGGTTGTTTTATCCGTGGGGGCGACCAGTGGGGCTCTGTGTCCCCTGAGAGGTCCTGACAGGGGACTCAAGACTTAGGAAATTTTAGCTTAAGGTAAAAAGCTGTAAGTCTAGCAAGTAATGTGTACATTAAGCTTTTGTTTCAGAAACTACAGCTAAGGCCCATCCTGGCTGCTGGGAAAACAGCCGACCTCCTGGGGCACTGGCTAGAGATGACCGTCTGGGGACATGTTGGAGGCATCCGGCCTTTTGTGTGACCACCCTCCCCCTCGGGAACAGCTAACTGCCTGGGCCAGGAATGTTGCAGCTTCTGGATCTCAAAGCCCTCACCGCACCTTGTTTGTCCTCCCCCACCCCCTTATAAAAGGTCTGACCAGGAAAGAGAAGGGAAGATGGTTTGTTAGGGTATGAACCCACCATCTTTTTGGATGGCTGGCCATCTGAATAAAGCACCCATAAAAGATTCAATCGCTGTCACTGTGTATTGGATTTGGTAGTGATAGGCAGCCCGAACGCCGGTGTCTTTTCCGGTTCCAGTCCCGGTGTGGATGTGCCCTTCCCCCGGAGCAGGGTGACAGTGAGGTTACACAGGACCAAAGTGTTGACCATGGAACCTGCCAGTTTGGGCTCAAGAGCATCCCCTGCTTATGAGCTGGGTGACCTTGGGTAAGTAAGTTACTACCGCTCTGAGCCCCGCTTTATCCACATGTTAAATGCCTCACAGGGTGGCTGAGACCAAATAATGGGGAGAGTCCTTTGTAGGTTGCTGGGTGCTGTGCACCTGAGGGTGCTTGCCGCCCCTGGGCTGCTGGAAGCAGAAGGGAGAGCCCGGCTGCTGGGCTGACATGTGAGGCTGCTGTAGGTTGCCTCTCCTACAGGTTGACTCTCGGGGGACAAAGAAAACCCCTGCTCCACCGGCTGCCACTGCCTTTGCCTCCCTCCCCCTCCCTCCCTCTGCGCAGGCCCAGGAGACACACCTGCAGGTAGGCACGGCCTCCTCAGAGACCCTCTCTGGTGTATGGATGTTAAAAAAAGGGCTAAGAATATATATTAAATGACTATTTTATTTACACACCCTATTCATAAATAATTCAATCCTCTTTTTGACCGCACAATGATTCCTTGAAGATCTAATGATTACAATGAATGACTCTAAGAGTGGATTAGTGGGCTTACTCACATCTGTGTGTGACAGTGTTCTCTCACGTATGTGCTCACACTCACACACAAACACCCACACCAGAGAGGAGGCAGGCCTCGGGGGGGCCCTCTTGGGGCTCTCCCAGCACCAGGGGCCCGGTGGGAAAACTGCGCCCCACACGCAGGTGTGAACTCGCGACAAGGAGAACAAAGAGCTGCAGCCCAGGGAGCTCCTGCCCTGCCCCTCGGAGCTGCTCTCCTTTGTTCGTCCTGGAAGGCATCTCTTTGGATTTGCAAATATTTTAATTCACAGAAACTCAAGGAGGGGGCGGGGGTGGGGGCTGGGGCGGCTGGCGGCCGTCCCTCTGTCTTCATCCAGGCCGTCTCCAGCCCCCCGTAGTGGCAACAGCATTCTAGAGACATGCAGTGGCGGCTGGCACCGGACACACGACAGGAACTGGGTGCGGCTGGCAACTGCGGCCAGGCTGGTCGGCGGGGCTCAGGCTCCTCCAGCTCCGGCCCCCGTCACAGAGCGGGGCGGGGCGGGTCCGCTCACAGGGTCCGCACAGCCACAGGGTAGAGGAGGGACAGGTGCTCGGCCCCTTTGATAGGCAGCTTCCTGGTGGTGTAGTAGTGGATGACTTCTGGGACACTGTCGAACGGCGGGCTGTTTTGACCCAGAATGTACTTCTCTTTGGTTTTGGCCAGTTTCATGTGCATAAAGCCCTGGTTGCTCCTGGGAACAGAACGCAGAGGTTATTAGGATCTGCAGAATGGCGAAGGCCAAGGCAACCTCGCGGTCAGGAGGAGGGGACAGGTGCAGGAGGGCTGAGGAGCAGGAGAGCCATTTCTCGGCCCCTCAGATTGGCTCTGAACAAGGACACATCGTGTGCCCATACCCACTGCCGTGGAGAACTGTCCCTCTGGCCGGACTCCCACTAAGGTGCACGGAGTCCTCCTGCCTGGGACAGGAGCGATCCCGCCATGGAGCTGCCCGAGTCGCACCTCTCCAGGCCCGGACAGAAGCCCAGGCCCGGCCGAAACACAGCTGCTCCGGGAGCTCCCCCGGCGCCAGCATCGGACCGGAACCGGCAGCAAACACTGCGGCAGGGGAGTCTGCTGACCCTGAGCCCCCGGCCCCTCTTCCGGTTACTCACGCAGTCAAGTATCTAGGCCTTGCCTGTGTGGACGAAAAGGGGGCTGCGGACGGAACCGGACGAGCTCAGGGAGGCCGGTGTGGCGGCCTTACGAACTCAGAGACCGAAGGCCTCACCACCCAGGATGGTCTGGAATCAAAACTGTCGAACTAGAAGCAGTCCACGGCAGGCAGTCATGTCCTGGGCGGGAGCTGTCAGCTGTCCTTGGTGTCGGAGATGACACCTTTGGAAGGTCAAAGGGATTTCCTCTTCCCGGACCCCTCCCAGTGCAGCCCTGGCACCAGAGCAGAGACCACAGATCACCTCATTGCTACTGTGTTAGCTGTTGGCTGTTAACTCTCTTACACCTCCTGCAAATGTACAAGAATGTGTCTCCTCGCTCTATTTTTCATCCAGTCCTGCAGGTTTACCGGCTTTTTTTTCCTTCCGCCTCCCCAATCTGTCACCGATGGGTTTCCTGTAACCCCTTCATGCCCCCTCCTCTGACTGTGATGTATAAAATAAGGCGCATAACTGCCATTCTCTCAATTTGTGGAGACTTCGCTTCCTGGTATTTGTCATCAGTTTGGCTCAAACTCATAAAAATTCTCACAGGCTTGGACGTTTCTCATGTTGACACCTGGAAGGTGCGAGGTGTGAGTCCCGATGCCCTGACCAGTGGGCAGGGCAGGGGTCATCACCCCCAGTTCACAGATGGGGATGCAGGGTGTGGCAGGGATGGCAGGTGAGCCATTTTCCAAAAACTCATGCTCGCCCTTCAGTGCAGCACGGAACTGTGACTGGGAGGGGGCTGTCCAGCTGGGACTACATTTCCCAGCCTCCCTTGGAGCTGCTGTACCCATGTGGTTAGTTTTAGCCAATGGCATAGCGGGAGGATGTGTGCCCAGAATACATCTTCCCAATTCCCAAGAACTTCACAGAGCGGGGTCTGTGTCCACCATGCCCAGCGTCTGCTGAGAAGGGCAGTGGGTGGGTTCCTTGGAGATGAGAGCACAGCTCTGTGCCCTGTGACCCTTGCAGCTGCCTAGCTGCACCAGCTTGCTGGGCACGGCGCGGCTCACACCACCAAAGGCCACGCTGCCTCTGCCTGCCCCTAGGGGACGCTCACACGCCCCACGCAGGGCCCTGGCCACCTCAGATCTCTCAGCCCTCCATCAACCTGCCTTTGCCCGGGTTGCCCTTCTCCTGCCCACTTAGTTCCGAGCCTGGACCTTATGATGTTGCTGCCTCCCCTGTGGAGGCTGTGGTTCCCAAAGCACGGTCCAATATACTGAGGGTGGGTCACTTAGAAAAGCTGGGGCTCTGACTCCACCGCCTTCGCCAAGTTATCTTCCTTGGACACTGGTCCCTTGCAGCCAGGCCCCTCCCCAGGTGAGGCGGAGGGCTCTGCGCCGCGTGGTTCCCTTCTAAGCTCCGGCTCTTCTGGCTCTGGTTGCTCTCACGGGGGCCCCGGAGGAGGGCTCACGCACACCTGTCCCAGTCAGGACTGGGCTCCCCTCTCTTACCAGCACCTCTTCTCTTAACACATCGGTTTGGACTCTGGGACCATTCTCAAATGGGCAGAGCAAATGCGTAATGAAGTGCAGGCGCCGAGCAATCCATCGGCTCGTAACAACGTACTTAAGAGATGTCACCCTCGGCTTACGGAAAATCGTTTGAAGAGAGCAATTATGTTTCAAGAGAGAATAATTCCTATAAAGAACTGAAATTTAAATCAAGATTTTTTAAGGCTGACAATGTTCTAATTACAGAGCCTGTGGCAAGTTCTGCTCCTCAGTGAAGGGTCATTTCATTTGAGAATTGCCTCCACTCGTCTGAGGAGCAGGAGGCGCACTCGCTTCAGCTGCTAGAAGGGAAATGGTGTGTGCAAGGAGTGAAAACCTGGGGCCACCTGAGCGAAGGCTCGGCCACCCACCACACCGGAGAGACCGCTGCTCTCTCTGCTGGCCTGGAAGGACCGTACTTGCCTGAACGAAGCTAAGAAAACGGGGGACAGTTACAAGAAACTTGGCCACTAGGGGCGGGTGTGGGGAGCGCAGGGGCTGGAGCTGCAGGTAAGTGCTGGCTGAGGCCGGGAGGGGCGTGGCCTCGGGCACATCGATCCCCGTTGTCAGTAGAGTCCTGTTACGGGGTGCCAGACCACATGCTCACAGAGCTACAACTGGGGGTACAAAGTGACTGGGGGTGCAAAGCGCAGGGTGTGTAAGTCAGGAAGGACCACAGTGGCTGGCCGTAAGCAGAGCCTGAACGCCAAGGCTCATCGTGCACCCCAGGAGTGAACTTGCAGGAAGCACCGATTTAATTTTTAAGGACATTAAGGAAAGTAACTCACGTGGGTTAACAGGATGTTTTCACAGAGGGTTGTTACTAAAACAGCCAGCAAGGGTAGTGGGCTGGGGGGGTGGCAACAGCTGACAGCGCCAGAGGTAGAAGCAGAAGCTCCCGTTCCCAGGCCACAGGCTCAAAACGGTCACCAGGTGTTAGCGATGCCACGGCAATGGTCCCGCCTCAACAGACGGGCTTGCAGGATGGCAGGGCTGTGAGCACCTCCCCTCGTGCCTACATCCCCACGTCCCGACCGACCGACTCCCCTGGCCTACTGTTTGCTCCTCTGACACTAGTAAGCTGGTTTATAACTGCACCAGGTGGTACCAAGGGGGCAAGCTGGTCATGACATTTAGAGACCAAGGGAGAGAACTCAGGCCCTGTGACCCCCAGTCTGACCCCGTGGCCTGACCATTCCTCAGAGGAGGTAGAAAGGCCAAAGAGTTGGGCCTCACATTGGAAACCCCCCTGCAAGAATGGTCCTCCCCCTGGGCCCAAGCACTGCTGTGAGCCAGGCCCTGTGCTGAGAGCACAAGGCTCAGCGGGGAGGGGGCTGACTCAAGGCCACACACAGCCATCAGCAGCAGTGGTGCCGCTGGTTCCCTCCCCGGCAGGGCTTCCCCACAGCCCGTGCTCCGGACCTCAGTGCCATCTTGCTCCAGGAGAGGGCCCTACTTAGCCCTCAGCACACTCCAGGCGGGGCCAGGCAGGGTGGTGACCCCTCCCACGGGGCTGGCGGGCTCTGAGAGGTGAGCAGGCTTTCTATGGGAGACCATCTGTCAAAGCCCGACTCAGGCAAAGGTCAGGGGAAGCCTTGTCAAAACACACCTGAGAGATGTGCTGTAATCACATATCCGGAGCAAGTTACAAGGTCACCACGAGATGCCACCTAACAGCAGCTGAATCCTTAAAACCAGCTGCCAGGAGTGGCTTTAATGACTCCCAACCCAGCACCATAGACATCAAGCATAAAAAGAGGGGGAAAAAATTTCTGGGAAGGACAGAGGGCGCATCAGATAACCAGCAGGCACGGGACGCGGTCGCTCTGGACAGAGTGCCTCTGGGGCCGGGGCGGCCCGGGGGCCACCTGCTCTCGCCTTCTCGGGGTGCTCTGGTGGAAACTGAGCTCAGAGACAGCAACAGTCTGGCCCAGCACATAAGGCAAGGTGGGCTTGGGCTCCGGTCAGCACCCGGGGGCCCCTCGTCCCAGGCCACCCCGCCTCCCCATTGTTGCTTCTGGAAAGGTACCGGTCCCTGGGGAGTCAGACGGGCTGCTGCCACCTGCCAAAGCTCCCGCGTCAGCCCTGTCTCCTTTGATAGGACATCTTGCGAGAGCAAAGGCACAATTAGGGATGTCTCTGGTGGGTGACCTTTCTAATGAGCCGCGTAAGGCTCACAGAGGCTGGGGGTGCGGGGGCTGTCGTGGCGCTGGGGTCGCTCATTATCATCACAAGGAGCACCTCCTCGTCACCGGGACCATCAAACACGCCTGGCGCGCAGGGCCTAATAACGGGCCCCGCCTCGCCTCGCAATCACGGGCTTCAATAAAACATCACTCAGCCCGCAGCTGCCGGCCCGAGCAGGGTGCGAGGCCTCACCTCTCGCTTTTAGACCTAATTGCTTGATGCATATTTCATGAAGAATCCCGGGTAATAGTTATGTTAAACCGCTTCTTTTCACGATGAAATCACTTAAAAACACTTGCATATAATATTGATGTGCCCTCGGGGACTAGCACGTAGGACTCCGTCACGGGAGCCCACACACAGGTGATGTCCCCGGCTCCCTTCTGTCGAAAGGTGGGCGGGGCACCGCTCTCCTGACTGCAATGCCCCGGAACCCTGTCCCCTGGTCCCCCACCGCCACTGCAGGATGGACGGCCCCTGCACTGCTCGGGTCCCCGCTGCGGGCCAGGCACCACGTGGAGCTGCTGCCACTCGTTACCTCGCTGAAAGTCCACAGCAGCGTCACCGAGTTGGTTAACTCTGTTTACAGATGGGGAAACTGAGGCTCGGGGAGGTTGTGCGCCCCCCACAGGACACGGAGGGGCCAGGAGTTCACTGTGCCTGCCTGACCCTTAAGCCTGTGCTCTCTCCTTAGCTCACGGTGAGCATGCAGGGCCCGTGGCAGCCTCCTCTCCCTCGCTCAGCCGCCGGCCAGGCCGCTACAGGTGTCCGTCCAGGTGGCCCTTCGGACTCTTTCTGCCTTGAGACGTGGCTTCCCTGGGGCTCTGTGAGCTCCTGAGGCCAGGAAC